TGATGTCAAAATGCCCATCTTGGTGAGTATCCTAGCAGACATAGTCGGCTGAACAAACAGTATCAGTGTACTGGATCAGTGCGTTCTATTAAAGTGACAGCACTTTCTTAATGTTAATCAAACAGCAACAACACTGAAATCTCTCACTGCTCTTGATTGAATAACTTTTGTAACTTTAATAAGGATTAATCTTTAATTTATACAGTCAAATATGCAATGTTATTTTACATTTGATTACTTTATTCAATTTCTGTACCTAAAAACTAATGTTACACCTACCCTAAAAACCTGAAAAGCACTGTTTTTTTATTTGTATCTTTGCTCTATTGTATTTATTTGTGCTGTTGCTTGTAGTTAGATTATTTGTTCTTATTTTCTTTATTTTTATTTGACAATATAGTTTTTTCCCTTAACATAGCACATACCGAACCGTACCGAAACAGTGACTCCAAAACCGTGATACAAACCGAACCGTGAGTAAGTTGAACAGTTGCACCCCTAATATATATATACATTTTTTTTTTGATCACAAGTTTTTGAGTTTTCCTCTCTTTTATGTAATACTTAATCTTTTCCACACAGACATACATTGACCAGGTACAGGTAGTGCCTCCTCGTCATCATCGTCTGGAGGTGGTGGTCCAGGTGGGGTCCGTGGCCCTCTAGGTTGTGGTCTGGGTGGGCTGCCGTTAAACTGTTCTTCATTCTCCCACTCTGCAATAGATTTACACACTCGCTTTCAATGCTTGACATAATGACGACATTATATATTTGTTTATATAATATTTGTGCTGACCAGTTTTAATGATCCGCTTGGATCCCAGCTGCTGCTGTTGGGGCAGAGGGGGTGGAGGAGGTGGCGGAGAGTCCCGCTCATGGCTGTGGGGGCGCTCGGCTGTGCCATACACTGCCAACGTCAGGCATGTGTACCATCCACGCAGGACTAACCCATCTGTGTTTATCTTCAATAACACAAAGACAAAATGAAAATTAGGACACGGTCTGAGACTCTTACAGGGGAGGAGCAAAAAAACTCGGATGAAGGATAATTTGTTTACAAGCCACGTGAGTGCAGGAGCTGACAGCTTTAGTCATTACAGAGGCATCTGCAAATACATTGTGGATTTCAGAAAATGCTTTTGAAGTATTCAGAGCCAAGGAAAGCTGCTGTCAGCTGTTTTGGAGAAACCACAAACATACTGGTGAATGTGTGTGAGTTTTATACAGACATTTGATGCCAGGTTGTCATGAGGGGGTCTCTTACCTTCCCATTAGGCCTGAAGATGATTGATTTGTTCTCATCGTACTCGAGGCTAGTGCGAAACGAACACCAACTTCAGTGATTTGAACAATCAAAATAGTACATGCATCTATTCAGCTACAGATTTGTGAGACAGCGTACTGTATTTCTTGCTGAGCCTGTACGACACAGGTGTGCATGTGTGAGTTTATTTAGTACCTGCCCAGCCTGTCAAACACCGGGGCGTTGGGTTTGGACACATTGTTGAAGAACAGGTCCAACTGGAATGCATGAGGGGCTGTTTCCCTGAAGATACACAGGAAGGGGTATTGTAAACGTCAAAACTTAAACCTGAAACCCCTATTTGCCATCAGCAGCTATTTTCTGTCTAATCAAACTTCCTGTAAATCAGTTAGCCTGCAGGAATCATTTGAAAAATGCCTCTTTTTCTATACAGATTTATTGTCTATTTTATCATTTTAAAAGGACAGAATAAAGAATAGTTTTATATAGTAGGTCCTATCAAAACAAACTTCCCTTTTCTCTCATTGTCCTTTTAACAGGTATGGAGACAAGTGGGATGAGGGATGAGATCATGGGAAAAGCTGAGAGTGGTCAGAGAATAGGGGGTGTGGTGGATCTGTTTTTAAAGAAGGAACAATAGCGACCACAGAAACCTTTTCCAATTCCCTCAAATGTCCTCCAGCCATTTCACTTCTGAGGACACCACAGAATTACTCATGTCCTATTGTGCACTACAGAAGCACTGGGACAGTTTGTACACACAATAAACATGGCAGAAGGCTTCTAGAAGCACTGTTAAATATTATATTAGGTGTAGTGAAAATTAGGGATGCACAAAACGACATCTTTTCAAGATGGTTTAATCAGTTGGTAGTCTGAATGTGATATATACACTACTGTTTAAAACGTATTTTACTTAGGAAGGATGCATTAAACTGTTCTAAAGTGACAGAGAAGACATTTATAATGTTATAAAAGATTTTTAATTCAAATACATTCTGTTAATTTTAACTTTCTATTCTAAAAAATATCGTATCGATATTAAGCAGCACGACTTTTCAATACCAATAAAAAAATGTTTATTGAGTACCAATAAGGCAGTAAATTTATTACAAAGTGGTACTTTGATAGGTGTAGCACTGATTTTTTTTTTTAAGGGGATTAATTCAGATTTTCGTAACTTCTTTTACAACTGTTAGAATGTCAGCATTCAAAAAATCCTTTTGAAAAAGTTGTCTCTAAATTCACCATATTGGCACAAAAAATATATAAACTTCTAGAAATAAAAAGCCTTCTCTAAATGACTAGCTGGCTGTTGAATGACCAGTGAACCATCCTAACCCAAGAATGGTCATTTAATGTGGATGGCACAGACCAATAAGTAGCGCCTGTGTAGAGGGATTCAGTAGTTGTTGTGTGATTCTTTATAGACCATTTAATTTGTTGCTGTACTTTTAGACAAGAGTGTGTGTGAGTGTATGCTGTACTTTTGTGTGTGAGTGTGTTTTCTCACCCAAACGCTCTGCTGTCAGGAAGGTTGCTGTGTGCTTTGATGCCAGGGGGAATGACTCGCACTTCTGTGATCAAGACACCGTAAGGAAACCGCACAACGTCCACATTTGTCAACTTGTAAGAAGACAGACATGGAAAAATGTTACGAAGCTTACTTATCAAGACAAGGATAAATGTTATGACAGATAGACTGATACAAGGGCCAGATTTCTCAGAGACACACCCTGACTGAGCAGCCAACCAGAAAAACAGTCCAGCTTATTCATCTGTTAAAGTCTTGGAATTAGGATTCCTATGGTTCAAGGTATTTGAAAACACAAAAGCATTCTCTGAAGTTCTTATTGAATCTAAAAATGGCTGAATGGTGTATATAGCTTAGTCCTTTCCCCAACAAACTGTCATAGGGCAACAGGCCTGTCCAACCTGTTTTTACAGAGCTGTTGGAATACAACTGTGGGGTGGCAGATCACTGCAACAATACAAAAACACCAATCAAACACATACATACATACACACCCTAACAAGACAAATTCCAGGACAAGAGATCTGTTTCCAGCCTTCACTAACAGGATACTATGTAAAACATTGGAACGAGGAGAAATTGCATGTAAAGAGATTCTCAGATAAAGGCTTATATAAAAAAAAAAAATCAATCACAGTTGCCTCTCAACCTAAGTTCTAAGTATAAAAAAACAGCACTTAAAGATTTTTATGTCTCACTGTACTCTCCCTTTCAACTTGGTGAGTGATTGATTTGTTAGCAATCTGACTTTCTTGGACAAAAGGACAACATATTCGGGCCTAGGATCAGGCCGTTTGATTTTTAAATGTGAATTTGTTTTGTTTCTGTAAGATTTACACGGTATTATAATAAAACAGCTGTGAGGTCATACTCTCTGTGAAAATGCAATTATTTTCAAATGGGTATATAACTGTTGGAAGTAATTTAAGATTATTTTAATCCATGCCAGGTAATCAGTTAAAAACTAATAATGAGCTTTATATAGTTACTCAATTCTGTTTTGCAATTTTGTATGCTTATGAGGCTGTGTCTCTCATAATTTGAGCACATTGATTTAGACAGGTGAATGAATGTGCTGTCAACGTTTAGTCATGATTACAATTTTCCACTTGCTCTCAGGGTAAATTTCTGGAAGATACGATGATCAGACATGCTCAACAAATAAAGCTGATAAATCAGAAGTGATTGGTCATGAAAAGCACAGCAGAAACAAAGGCTGACTAAGAAAAAACATTTAGCATTACATCACTTGCTCACCAATGGATCCTCTGTAGTGAATGGGTGCCGTCAGAAAGAACGTTCAAACATCACAACTATCCACATGTAATCCACATGATTTTAGTTCATCAATTAATGTCTTGTGAAGAGAAAAACTGCATGTTTGTAATATACAAATATATCGAAGCATTTTCATTTTAAACCACTGCTTCTGGCCAAAGTCTATAAACCATAAACTATAAATCCTCCAGTGAAAAAGTTAATCTCCTGTTGTCATTACATTAAAATCTACCAATATACTTGTTTAGAACTATTTTCACTTATAAATGGTTCTTGATCAGTGCATATTTCTCTCCCAATTCAGAAGAGACAACCTTTTCACTGAAGAAAGCAATATTATGGATGGAGGAGTTGTATTTTAGCTGGAAGCAACAATTTTAAGTTAAAAAAGTTTTAATGATGAATCTGTTAATTACTAACATGCAGCTTTTCACTTAACTGGAGTTGTGAGGATTACTGTGAAGGAAATCAGCAGTCTAATAAGGAGGTTGATACCTTATGTATTTTGAAAATTCAAAAATACTCAGATTAAATGTTTAATGCAAAATACATTTGATTTTTTTTTCAAAGGTATTTAAATACAAAATAGTATTTTGTATTTCAAATACATGTATTTGAAATACTGCCCATCCCTGACTGTGACGCTTTTATCCTCTGTTTGAACTCTCATTCTGACGGCACCCATTCACTGCAGAGGATCCACTGGTGAGCAAGTGATGCAATGCTACATTTCTTCAAATCTGACCGAATGAAGAAAACTCATCTACATCTACATTTTCAGCCAATTTGAATTTTTAAGTGAACTATTTCTTTACCAATAGAGAAGTTATACAGAATCACAAGATACACAGAAAAAAAAGCTTTCACACACAACCACAGAGGTTAAAAGAGCTCAAATATTGTCCTCATTTGTAAGTCGCTTTGGATAAAAGCATCTGCTAAATGACTAAATGTAAATGTAAATAGATGCAATTCAAATATTAATCACTAGCTAAACGGTACATTGAATACACGTGTTTCTGCTTTCTTATTGACCCCAACTCCACACACTTTAACCCCCTGGCTACTTCTGAAAAGGTCTATAGATTGCAGACAGACCTCCTTGTTTACATGCACATGCGGTGCTGTCAGATAAACATGAACCAGGGGCGTAACTGAACAGGCACCGGCTGATACCTTTACAACAATATATGAGCATCTTATTGTTAATGAATACATAAACAAATGGTTTATCATCACAGCACATTCTACTTGTTAATAGCAACTACACATACGCTGTCAACAATAACAATATAACCACGAGCTCTGCCATACGACGTCTAAAGTCGGGTAACGTAACTGTTTTAAATGTAGAATTACGGGTGTTATTATGAAAATGTTAATTATATCTTTAATGAATTGAATATGTATGAATTACTGTGCTAATTAGCAAGCTAACTGTTCACAGCGCTCAGTGTGTTATTACAATGGAAACTTTAAGAACGCGGGAAAAATATTTTAACGTCTGATAGACTTTAGTCTCTGTATCATGCGGTTAAAAAGACACGGGTGAAGATGGAAGACTTCGAAAGTTTACCTCCGCACTTTGATGCTTGAACGTATCTAAAAAGAGCAGCTCCATTGCAGAATCCCCCGCCATCTTTCTTGGTCACATTAGGACTTCCGGTAAAGGAAACACTTCCGGAGTTGAAGGCGTACGTCACAACGTTGGTTGTGTTGTAGGATCAGTAGGTTTTAGAAATTGCATATTACATGTTTTAAAACATTTCAGTAAAGCCATATACGTGCATCGTTTAGTAATTATTAATTAGGCTACTAGGTTTCGATAATGGTTTTGTATATCACAACACATTGTGTCCAATCTTGCACATGTAGACTATTCCAAAAACATTAAGAATAGATTATACAAAAAATATAATATCCGCCTACGTTTCAAATTTATTAATTATTATTATTATTCAGAGTTTTGTTGTTTTGTTTTTGTTTTGTTTTTACATTTTATTTTATACAAAATCCTCTCAAAGTTATTTTTCTTTTACACATAAAATGCACCTTTTCTGGATTAACTTCAGATATCACTCTTCAATAAAGCTTTTTAAAAGCACATTATTATAAAGGATTTACTGGAAATCCCTGAATGATTAATGCATAGAAATGACAGAAGAAAAAACTATTTACAGGTGTAATTCATCATTCTATTAAGGACCTGAAAGAGTCCAATAACAGGTGCAAGAATGTCAGAAACATTGCTAAAGGTAATAAAATGACACAAAATGTAAATAAATAAAGGCCTTCAGTGATTTGCGTGTTGTAACACCTAACAAACTCAGGTCACAGTACTGCTGGATGTGCAAGAGGTGGTTGAGCAAGAGTTGTTAGCCTAATTATCAGAAAAATATTGGCATAACTGGCCTTCACTGTGTGTGGAGGATTGTTATGTGGCATCTTTCTCTTTCTCTTTTTTCAGTGCCTGTGATGGTCATATAACAGATGTAGGCCTACACTCACGGCGTGTTTACTTGTGCTTATAACTGTCGAAATATTGACTTATAACATGGTTATATAATAGTTCAGATACATTTTAAGTCTAGGGATTTGTTTGGTCAGGCTAATATAGTTTAGTTAGTAGGCTACAATATTAAAACTACAGGCCTTGCGTCATTTTTTACACATTACGTCCTGTTCGCGTTTGATGGCAGGCGAGCAGGTGTTAACGCTGGGTTATTTTATTAGTAGACTGTGTAAACGTGTAATAAACAGATCCTGAATTCCCTCACATCATGTACCAAGAGCGCGTTTTCGGAGTGCCATGCCACGTCCTTGTTTCTCAGCAGCAGTAGGAGGGCTCTCTTTAGGGCAGGTATCTATTACCTGTGTCACGTGGGCGGTGGCCAGGTAGGGCGCACACAAAACCAGCGCGATCCAAGCAGCCATTACGGAGCAGAGCCAAGGGTTTCGGACTTGTTTGCATCGATTCTCACGCAATTAAAAGGCCACGGGACACATCGAGGCGAGTCCGAACCCGGCACTGATCTGTCCGTAGGTGTGGGGTCACTGGGCTCTTGGCTTCTCTGTCACCTGGAGTTGATCTCTAGGGGTTTGCTTTTGCAATCGGGGTGGTGTGACAATAGTTTTTCCCCCTTCTTAAAAATGACGGTTAATCCAGATTATCTGGTGCTTTTATTCACCACCACATCTGGCGCAAATGGGGACCAATTGGGATCAGATGAGAAGGAAATTGTACAGTTGGTTTGGCAGGTTGTGGATTTAGCGACTAAAAAGGTAATTTCATATTTCCCCATGATGGTGTGAATGCGTGTTATGCATTGGTGTGTGTGTGTGTGCGTGCGTCCGTTGGTGTGTGTGTAGTAATTCTGGTGGAGGTTAGAGAGAGTAAGTTTTTCATTAATATGTCATATATTTTTAAAAAGAAATATTACGAAGTAAAAGGACAAATATTAAAATGTATTTATTTATTCATTTATTCACTTTCATCTATCTGTCTGTCTGTCTGTCTGTATATGTGCGTTTGTATGTGTGTGTGTGTGTGTGTGTGTGTGTAC